GTTCGCCTGGCGTCCGCGTGGGAACAAACACGATCCCACTCTTATAGCCCCACAATAACGTTTTAGAACCATATACATTACACTCAGGTATATACGAACAATGTAGCAATCGAATAAAATGTAAATAGAAATACAAGAAACTAATACAAGAATTAGATAACTATTCTTCTCCCTAATGTATCGACGTATACGCGGCATCATATTTATGTATATAGAAACAAACATACTTATTCCTGTATATAATCATAGACACAGACTTTGGAGAGGGGGGGAGGAGAGGGCATATGCAGAAAATATAGTACAGATAGATAGACAGAAAATAAACTTTATTCAGGGACATGGTCACTTAAGAATAACAATCATGAACCAAAACTATATCTGGTAAAAAACTACATTTATAAAAATTAACCAATACATACAGTATTTTCAGTGACAATATGTAAACAACAGAAAGTTTAAATATTTTGAAATGAAAAGAAAAACAGAAATCAGGAAAAATAACAAACAAAATCTTTATTATGTAAAAAAGTTTTTAGTGTAAATTTAATTTATTAATTTTAATTTTGTTTTACGAAAAAATACGTCTTCCTGTATATTCTATTTATTTTTCATGTTTGCGCAACCGGTGTCGGTCTTTTATCAGACCTTCATCAGACTAGATAAAATAATAAAATTAACAACAATAAAAACTTTTGTAAATAATAATAAAACCTAATTTAAAATTTAACAATTTAAAATCAAATATTTTTAAATTAATCAATAAACTCACCCAACTGATGGTGGTCCTTTATTGATTAATTTATTAAGATTTGATTTTAAATTGTTAAATTTTATTATTTTACCTAGCCTGATGAAGGTCTGATAAAAGACCGAAACAGGTTGTTCAAAAGTGAAAAATAAATGGAATATACAGGAAGACGTATTTTTTCGTAAAAAAGAAAATAAATAAATAAAATTTACACTAAAAACAACGTTTTTTTTTTGTAAAATTAAATTTCAATCCTGTAATATCAAGCCACAATTTTTTATTTTTTTTAAATAAACTGGTAAAGAAGTTTCGGAAATATGTTTTTATATATGAGATTTCCTCTCTAAGCATTGAGATATCCGAGATAACTTTCCAATACAGCTTGTAGTAATATTTTATAACTTGAGTTTCCTTTGATGTTGAAGCATCTTTATACTTCTTAGCTGATAAATTAAGCGATGCTCCCTTTTATAAACTGCTTTAGAATATTTTCTTTTTAAATATTTTTTCAAATAGCTCACTTTTAGCATACTGGTTATAAGCTTGTTGTAAAAGCTATTGTTTATTTAGATATATAATATTCTGTCTAGTGGACAATAATTATAGTGATAAATGAATACATTAACACCATATATACAGAAAATACAAAAATTAACAAAAGTAAAATAATAACTAAATAATAATCAAAAAGAACTATGTACAATAAAAAAACTAAAATAACCTAAATATAAGTAAATTAAAAACATAAAGTCATACCTATATACAATATATACAATCAGGCGGGGAAACCAAATCCCTGCGCTACTCTCTCAACCGCCTCACTGGTGCTAAAGCCAGTGGAGCCTGAGCGAGAGCGCTTTAGCCACATACACTCATGTCTTGAGTGGAGAATCTGGCCATTGCCAGAACTCCAAAATATATACTATTTAAGATCTCTGGGCCACTGCCCAAGCCACAATTAAAGAGAAAGTTTTTAGTGTATGTCATATCTTATTTTATTTTAGCATTAGGAGTGTAGGAGGTTACAGGAGCTCTCCTCTTAGCTCTGTAATTAGCACTAATTAAACAGCTGTTCATTTAATTATATATGTGTTGAGCTACTGTTACCTAATACTCTCCTAATACGAAATAAAGATTTCAGACTAAAAATTTTTATAGAAAAATCGTATTTCATCATGTGGAGGTGGTAGTTTGATTTTACCTAAGTGACAGCAGTGATTTTTCGATCTAGTGTTGTTGGGCAAATATAGCAACAAAAAAAAAGAAAGCTTGAAAAGAATCTAACGAGTTACTTATGAAATTATTGGAAGAGTCTCACAATATTGTCTGGTGAATTTACCCAAATACATTTAAAAAAAGATTATTTGTTATCTAAATTCTCCAAAATAATTACAAAAATAACTATATATCTCATTACACCATCTGTGTGATGAAGAAATCGTTATTACAAATAATTTTTAAGATTTTTTTCTCCCGTGATTGGAATTGTAGAGGGCAGTAAAAGCCGACCTAAACGACCCCGCAGTGGCCGGCTGGAAACGAATTCATTTTGTTTTTTGGTCCTCCGAGGCCGGAGGCGACGATGTGGGCTGTACTACCTGTATTACCTGTATTACCCCTCCTCCTCGTATTACCCCAACTACCTGTATTACACGGGCAGGGTAGTAGCGATTATTGCCTCGGTTAGTAATTGCTACTAAACCCCTCCTCGCTTTCATTAAACATTTATTCCTTTTTGACCGTGACTTAGGCCCTTTAATGCTCGCCATCTTACCCCGATCGCTAACAACTATAATTAGCAAAGCTTTTCATTAATATAAAGAATTTCTCGTTATTATCCTCCGCCGTAATAATTGAAATATGTCAAATTGGTTTTCGTGACCCTCGGGAGGATCCAATAAGACACTGCAGGATGCAGTTCAGTATGTGATCAGCTGAGAGACCTCGTATCAAAAACGGACATCAGTCATTTCCAGAAAGTGGAGAAAAAAAACAATATTTGTTTTATAAGAGAATATAAGAAAATATAATCCTGGACTCTTCGGGAATCATCCACCACCGTTAGAGTTTGTCATGAGAGGGAGGAATTATACGTCCACTGTATTTTATGAATTAGGTTACGAAGAGAGAAGAGAAAACATTAGGAGGAATGAGTGAAATGTATAAGGGGAGAGAAGGGAAAGAAAAGGAAATAGAATGTTAATGAATGAATGAAAGAAATTGTCAAAAATGAAAAAAAAACATGAATAAATAAATAAAATGATACACATAACAAAATTGTATACGATGCTCATATATATTGATGATACGATATATTTATATATTAGTTTTAAAACTTGTCCATAATAATTGATAAGTATGCCGTTTCTTTAGCAACCCAATATAATTGGGCAGCACCCTTTTATGAAAATAAAGTGATTCTCTCTCTTCAACCTATGTCGTTTTTGCTAATTTTATTTGAGAAGGTTCAAGTTGAATCTTGAAAAAATCATTTGAATAAGTTTAAATTGAAGCTGTGTGACAGATTTTTTCGCAACTTTTTTTAAATTTATATATTTTTTTTTAAAGCAGAACTTAGCATAGTTTATCCACTCCAAATGTCTGTTTAAATAGTTTGAACAATAAAATATCCTACTTTCACTTATAGAAAATGTTCTATAGTTTACTGTAAAGTAATTTTCAATTACTTAAACATTAAACGCGACTTGCTTAAATAAACGCAAAACTTTGATTTCCTACTTTTCTGTTGAAAATTAGGTCATCGTTTATATGAACTTTTTGAAGTTACAATTTCTTTAGGCGCGTTTTACACTTTTTCTGTGGAGAGTGAATTAGTGTGAGCCGTCAGATTTCCGATATGTAACACTCGGATATAGTCGGCTGGAGTCGATAAATTAAAGTGTTTTTGGACATGGATTAAAATATCTCAGAAACTAAAAATCGGAGCAGCATACTATAAGCAAGGCCATTGTTCAGCATTTTATCCTCTCTGCAATTGGCTCTTAATAAAAATTGTATCTTAGCGCAACCCCAAGTCAGAGGGGCATAAAGAAAAAAATAGTATCAAAAACAAAATGATAACGAGTTCTATGGAAGATGTGGATTAAAATATATCAGAAACTAAAAATCAGACCTGCATACTGTAAGCGAGGAAAATGTTCAGAACAACACTCTCTTTACAATGACCTATTATTCAAAATTGTATCTTAACGCAAAGCCGTGTTAGAGAGCTCAAAAGGAAAAAATGTAATTTATATTTCATATTATTATTGTCGGTTTCTTGATGTTTTCACTTCTATCGTATGGTCTAAACCCACACATCTAGTGGGTTTTTTTTATAGACAAAGTTTGCCCCCCATACAGATTGAAAACGTCCCAATTCCGAGAATTTTCGTAAATAAAATGTTTGTAGGTTACATTGAGATGAAACTATTTACGAAGTTACGAAATTTACAATGTTAAAATAAAATAATTTGATAAAAAGGGGTCTGTACCATGGACTATCCCACTGTCTAACGATATATTTTTTTAAGTATGGGAAAGATGCTGTAAAGGGGGTTGAATTAACAAGTTGCACCATCAAAATTTTTAAGGGGCATATTTTTACGTGGCTATGTTCTTTTTTTTTTTTTTTTTTTTTTTTGCTCTTGATGTCTGCTATAACTCCTTTAAATATTTCGTTCTACTTACGGAACACCGTAGATGCTTTCTGGAAATATGGCGGGAATGAAAATTTTTCTCACTAGAAACTAGTGTCCATTTTAGGGCAGAATGTTATATTAATCAACAAAATAGTTTTAAAAAGATAATTATTAACCCCACAAAACTTGATTTCATAGAAGTTTATCTATCTTTATTATTTAGCATTATTGTACATAGGTGTGAATGTGTTTATTTATTTTTTTATCATTCGGCTAATCTGTTGTTTTACTTATCTTGTATACTACTTTATCTTTTTATTTTTATTTATTTCCCTTTCTTATGTACATATTGTGTGAATGGATACTAAAGCCCTTGTTCCAATGCCCTTCAGTGTGGCAGACTGTATTAATACTCCGTAGAACAATAAATAAATAAATAAAAAAATTATTTAAACTTGAAAAATATGTATTGCAGTTATTTATTTTCTGTTTCCATCGAAAAAACAAAAACATTAAATAAACAGGGCAGAACTAACTCGTTGAGACTGTCATATATATTTTTTGTGTGAAATATTGGTTCCGTTGGCGACCCAGGACTTAGGTATTAACTACTATTGTTATTTTGATTACAAATAATGGGGAGGATGGAGCGGGCTATGCCAAGGAGCAAACAAGCGAGTTGTGGTAAATGTCCTGTAACCGGTAGCGAAGATATCCTCAACCAGGAGGGAAGGGGTCCTGGCAACCTTCCACAGGACATGAATCGCCGAGGCGCATCCAGCCTTTATGGCATCATCTCTCATCCCCGCTATAATCCCATCCTCTCATCTACAATCTAATTGGCATCCATCTTGTTTCCACCCCTAGCTCTATCTATTTATAACTGTTTTAAATTGCATTGTTGCATCTTCCATCATCTTCTAACCTTGTAAATTTTTATGAAGCCTCGACTGAATTCAGAGGAGAAAATATATAATAAATACATTAGAAAAATATTTCATATGATTTCTCTTCTTTTATTTTTAATTTTGTCCTCTTTTACTTCTTGATTTTACATATATTCATTCCATATGCTACTGGAGTTCCTATAACTCAGGAGACCCCAATATTTTTCTACTTGAGAACATAGTTATATGTTAATAGTCAGATAGCGAGCACCAATTTGTTTGTGATATTCCTAGATATTTTACTTTTGAATTTGTTATTACTTATAAGAAAAGAATAATTTCAACCTACACACACACACACACACACACACACACACACACACACACACACACACACACACACACACACACACACACAAAACACACACACACACACACAAACACACACACACGCACGCACGCACACGCATATATATATATTCTGTTGAAATAATTGATCATGTAGATTTTTTGCTGCCTTAATTACGTAGAGACTTCCAGATGGATTGCTACGAGTTACATTCTCCGCCCATCTTAATCTTCTTGCCATAATATCATGGAATATTGACTGACCAGTTTCTGCAAGCAGTTCTTTATTGGTCTTTCTTCTCTGCGTGTTAGTACTCTGATCCTAGATCGCTCCTGTAATCATGTGGAGAATTTTTCTCAAATCTTTCACTACTTTTTACTTAGGTGCTATTTAATGTTCAGTTCTCATAGACATATATATTTGAACTGGCTTAATCATAACATTTTACACCATTAATTTGAGATTTCTTGAGGTTTTTCGGGATTTTATCACTTTTGGAAGGGAGAAGATAGCTCTGTTTGCGCTAGTTATACGCTGGTCTATTTATAACCGTTGGTCATTCATTAAGATTATTGTGGAGCCGAGGTATTTGATCTTTTCTACTCTAGGAAAGGTTCCCATTGTCCTGTTGATTATTTCTAAGAACAGCTATATCAACTGCTTATCCAAGGATTTTATGATTCATTCCAACGTGGATCCCTCCATTTTCGTGTGATGTTCAACAAATGAAACTGTATTGTTTATGGCTTTATATAAAGTAAATAATTACTTAATAAAGCATTAAAAATTTTTTTTCGTGGTTTTCCTTGACCTAAATGTCATTTAACATATATTTTTAAAGTTTTCGATCCATGACTTGCACTTCTCTGATCAAATTTCCCGCAAGGATTTCTTTCCCCTCGTCTTTCTATATTACCTTAGGTCTGATTTTTTCCTTCTACTTCTAGCTCCCTAATTATTTATTTAATCTTTCCACAGACATTCTATTCAACGTGTACAGACCACCGTAATTTATTTTCTTTAGTATCTGCAGGAATATTGTTTTTCACCTCCATCAGTTCCAGAATTCTTTCATTTTCAATAATTTTCCTTCTGAATTGTGTCCATTTCCACGGCTTGCAATCTTTTCCGGTATCTGACCCTTGATTAATGAGACATGGTCCCTAGACATATGTTCTATAGCGATTAAAGTGGAAAGCAAATGGGTATTTACGAATTCTTTGTATCTAATTAAATGGACAAAGTTTGCCGACCTCCAGATTGAAAAAGCCCCAATTGGGGGAATTTTCGTAAATAAAATATTTGTTGGTTACGATAAGATGAAGCTATTTACGAAGTTTTTGCCTTCCACATTTTGGGGAAAAAGCTTGACTCGGGAGATTCCTGGGCGAATGTATATATTGTATATAGGTATGAATGTGTTTAAAAGTTTTTATTTTATTTTGTTTGTTTATTTTTTTTATTTATTTACTTTTTTATATTTATAGTTTTATATTTCTTTATTATTTGTATATACTGTATTAATGAGAACTTCTAGCCTTAATATTTATAGCCCCCCAACAGTGGCTGATTGTATTATTATTCAATAAAATAAAATAAAAATTTTACGAAGTTTCAGCCGAATAATTTGATAAATATGGGTCTGTACCACGGACTAGGGTTAAAGTAAGTAAAAGAAATCCTTTTATATATTTTTTTTTTCACGGAATGGAACCCCTTGGAACACAACCACGTTCGTTATTATTCTTCAATCCGAAGTATTTTTACGGTAGGAGAGGCGTTTTCCTCGTTCTGGGAAGAGGCGATGCGGAGCTCCCGCTGTGCCGATACTCCGTCACGTCGAAGATCCCAGACAGACAGCGGATCCTGAAACCCTCGAGCTATATGGCCGTGGGAAGAGGGACTATTTGAGATAGTAGCCAATATGTTACGTGATTGGAGCCTCCCGTTGCACGGGGTTGTTGATCCACAATGGATCCTCTACGTGCGGAAATATTCAACAAGGCATCATAACTGTGACCAAAGCATAAGTACTCCCCGCCCACCTTCGGCCATCTTTTCTCTCTCGTCTTTTTACCATGGCTTTAGTCCATTCCTTTCAAGGGTGGTAAGAAATATTTTTATTTATATAAAATGACGGATATGTTAAAAAATAACAAGAAATAATTATAATATAAACGAGCAATAGAGGCTAATGATACATGACAATAACTTGGTATAAAACTACGCATCCCACAGTAGGACGAGTAAGGAAAAGTTCGTGATATAAACTGAAATTAATACAGAGTATCCAGTAGGTTGAAGGAAATATCTAAATGGATGATGGTATAGCTAGAGAGCTACAAAAAATAGTCCGTAGTACAGAACCCCTTTCATTGAATTATTACCATTCGCCTAAAACTTCGTGAATAGAAATTTTGGGAGACCGAGGAAGTCACGGTTTCGATTCCGCCAAATCCTGAAGATGCATTTTGCGAAGATCGCTTTATAAAGTGCATGTATGAATACATGAATAAATACATACATGAATGTATTTATAAATACATGCACTTGTGATCTGCTGAGTAGATTCGTATTTTCGCTTCAGTTTTGTTCTGTCCAATGGATTTTCCTTGATTTCAATAGAGGGATAGCTCTACCTAAATTTAGAAATCTGGGAAATAGATTTATGAGAAATAAGGAGTATAAGTCTGCACATATGGAGGAGTATGTAAGATTGGATCATGTCTGGCTCGCTAAGAACCTTCATCTCATCGTAAACTGCAATATTTTTATTTACATAATTCTAGAGATTGAGGAGTTTTCTTCTATTACAGTTTGTAATTTTTTGTACTGATAACTTTCATTTTAGAAAGAATAAGTAGAAGTTTAACAGATATTTTTTTATGACATTTAAATATGTATTAATATAGTAAAATGACAAGGATGGTTGACCGTGATATAATATGAGGAGTTGATCGGGGGTGCGGTCAAATAAATACTAAATTATACAAATAGTATTATTTAATTTTTGCCGATGTTTAGACCCACTTTGCAGATTCTATAATAAGAAGAAGTCTTTATCAGACAACTTCTTCTTATTTTATATTTGCTTATATTCATTTATTTTATTTTCACCATGTTTTGTATCTTTTGTAGCCCTGATGAAGACCTGCAAAGTGGTTCCTTCCCCCCTCCCCCTCCCCCGATCAACTCGTTCTCATAAAATAGTAAAAATGTTTTAAAGCTAGAACTTGTATTTAACAGTTTGAAAAAAACTTTTACTTTTAGCCTCTTATTGATTTTTTACTTTCACTTACCTATATATGAAATATATAGTAAAGGAAAGTATTGCGATCGTGAAAATTTTTGTATCTCAGTTTCCAACGGAAATACACTGTCCAAATAACCACAGACCAGAATGGTCTTTGTGCGTGTGTGTGTTAACAGTCTAGCTCAAAAACAAAAATAAAAAGTCGTACGAAAGTGAAATTGCATATTTAAAGTTTTTAGATGCTAGGGACGTTGCAGTAACTTTTTCGTCAAAATCTACTGACCATAAGTGACATATCATGGGCTAAACACATTTTTACAATTATCTCGAAAACGGCTTTAACGATTTTGATTTAATTAAATGATAAGTGTAAAATTAAGCAGTTTTAAATAAAATATAGTTTTATTCTGTATGATGTTCTCTAACAAGGCTTCAATGGCTAATTTTTAATATTAGATTCCTCTAAAGTATCTTTAATTTTTTTTACTTGAAACAATTGCCTATTTCACATTAATCTTTAATATAAAAGATAGGTTAATATAAAATATGAAAGAATTTGATAATTAACTAAATAAATAAATAAAAAAGATAAATAAAAAATCGTAACGGAGAATAGTTGTAATTGATCGCACTCGAGCTCGCCCGAAAGATTATAACAGTCTTCCATACGCAACATGAGCTTAATATAATACGGACTCCGACAATATTATATAAATATAAATATGCGGTTTTCATAAATACTATTGTTGGTATTATTTAATATTTAATTGTATAGATCACACCGATATAAATATTAAAATTTGTATATATATATATATATATATATATATATATATATATATATATATATATAAGGGTACTTATACAAATAAAAATACCCACAATGAAATATAAATAATTATAGCTTCTATAATTTTTACTTTCATTTCTCCTTTGTCTGAAAATACTTATTTCTGCTAAGAAGAGGGTGGTAAGTGAAAGTTGTGTGATGCGCGCACCGCACCAGATTTTTTTATATCAAACAGTTAATGTTAAACTCATTTCTAAAAAAAAAGAAAGAATTGTTCCAACCCGTGATTTTAATATAAAATTGGCCTTGCCATTTAAAATATTGGCTCTATTTTCGTGGAGGTATCTCCCAGACTGGGAGTTACCCAATGTAGCATCCTCGATATCCTGATATTCTTGGCGTACCTCCTTTAAAGAGCATTGATCCTAAGAGAAGCAGCAACTCCAGGAACAGGAGCCGCTGAGGATGCTAAGGATGCAGAACCATGGATAAGAAGAAAGAGAGCTGCCGACTCCCGGTTTTTTCTGTCGGGTTGTCACGGGTTGATACCCGGCCCATCCGGACGTGCATGTTAAATCGGCTCTAATTGCCAGCTCTGGGACAATGCCTTCTGGATCGTTTCACG